TAAGGAGCCGGTCGGTGGTGCTCCAGCTTGGCCTCCAATAAATAATGACAACAATACCGGACCCATCTGCGTGTCCCTAATAACCAGTCATTAGTGAATAGCGACCCACTGTATTAATTGCTACTCAAGCATGTGCTTTGCATGTCTTTAGATTGAATTCATTACTCAATTGTGTTAACCGTGGACTCGGGCTATTATCGGAGCCGATCTCAAGATTACTCGCAAGACGCCGGGTTTTGCGTCTTAATCTGCGTCTCGTATGTGGCCCCTATGTCGTCCTCAACCCCCCCCCCCCTTTCCCGAGCGCGCCTTAGCGTCCGCGGACACGTGACGGAAATCTTGAAATATGCGCGCCTTATTCCTCGTCAGCCCTCGTTCTTAGTCCCTCGGAGTAATTACTAATTAGTCTCAAAGCTTTGCCGAAACGGCGAGCCGGGAGTCGCCCCAGTTCCCTTCGCTCTCGCTTTCTTTCACCCTAACGACGAAAATTTTCCCTCCGATCTTATGGTTCATTCAAAGTCTGACAACACTGCTAATCGAGGGCTAACGAATAACGTCTAACTGACCATTTCGGCAAAAAAAGAGTTAGCGACTTTGCCGCATTTGACAGTATAAAAAACGCGAGCTGATTGGTTTGTTCCCAATCTGTGGGGGAAGCTTCAATAACGCTGTAATGTTTGAAAACAAATGCAAATCCAACCTAAAATTTACAAAAACAGCGGAGTTTTCTCTTTATTCAGCAAAATTTTCAGTTTGCAGATGGGCGGTATTGTCCGTCAGCCATCGTAATAGCGATGGAGAATTTGCATGCAATTTTTTTATTGCTTCATCCGAGAGTGCTTAAAGAGCTGATTTCACAGTATTTTTAATAATTTTTCTCTTATATGGGGAATAGTATAAAAGTAGATTTAAAAGTGAACAAATGCACCGCTTAGTGACGTCATCTGGCGGCATTTAAACGCATGTATTTTAGCAGATTGGAATATTTTGTCACATCTTCTTCAATGATTATTCGCTTCATGAACCAAGGGTATCCTTGTGTTCAGTTCACTCGGTAGTTTCCACTTAAACACGAAATTCATCAAATTTCAAACTTCTGCAAATTCTCTGCTTAGGATAATGTTAATGATTTAATAAATAAAATCGAATTCGAAACCGACTCAAATACAAAAAAAAAATTAGACGAACCACTAAACAAGGACACTTAGAATTCCTCTGAAAAAAAAGGAAAATCAGAAAAGGAAGCAAATGCCACGTTATGTCGTTCTGGAGCTCGACGATTCAAATGAAGCGCTATTATCATGAACTAACGTATTCTCGTCAACACCACAAAAGTGCCGAACGCTTCAACCCTGATGAAATCACTATTTCAACTCGTTGGTGCGTGTTGCATCACTCGTCCAATGAAGGCGCGCTGAGTTCCGTTCCATTGCAACGACCGGTGATCGGTAAATGCGCTCGGTTTGCAGTGATTTTAAATGAAAGAACACCAATATTTTGAAATGTTGCTTAAATTTGCTTTGAGACTTGATTTTGGTGCACCGATTGATTTTAGGATATAGTATGGAATTATTTTCAAAGGACAAGGCGGTATTTTTGGCCGCCGTACGCATTTGCACTAAATTCTCAAAATTCAAACCTGACGTTTGTTGCAGAATCTCATTTTCTTTACCTCGTGATTTTTTTCTTTTCTTTTGCGAGCATACAATGACAATTCAACAACTATGTATTTTTAAAGATGAATTCATTCCAAATCTTCCACCATGATAATGAATGGAACTTCTTGGTTTTCCCCCGCGAAATGATGTGGGCCCACTATCATTTTACCACCTTGTTACGTATATTATAAGTTAAATGTAGGTTTAAAATAAAAGCAAGTAAGTATCTTCAACACCTCACCATTCTTATATTATGCGTCCGATTTGAACGAAAGTGTGGAATGTAATGCGCCTCAGGAGAACTGGGTTACTGAATCAGCTGAGTGAGATCTGATCGTTTACCGATGAGAGTGCAAGTTTTCTATTCAAGTGCAAAGCGAGTGAAGGGGAAAGTGTTGGAGCATTGCATGAGTTGTGACTTCAACAAAATTTACAACTAAAGGTTATTACTTTCTCTCTTAAACTTTCGAACTTCCAGGGAAGAAGTTACTTACTTCATACAAAACTTATCAAGTTCAGCACGAGATTGGCGCTCAACTTTCGCCAATGACGCAACTATTTCCGATAGAGGAACCGTCTTGAGCTGTTCGTCCAACGGATTTAGATACAAGTATTGTGTGCTGATCTCACAGTCAATTATACATATTATTTGTTGCCGTAAATCATCAATTTTATCTTGACGTTAATTTGATCGTTCTTTTCCAAAGTTGATGAAAGTTTATCGTGTTCGTCGAAATACAAGGGTGAGGATCCAGAGGTGTAAAGTATTCTACACATACCTTCATATTTTTTAAAAATGCCTCGCTGCTTTTCTGCAACGCGTTGAGTTTTTACAGAATGATCTATGCAACGCGCTTGCTAAAATGGTGCCACATTTTTCAATACACTGTGTATCCAAACAAAATAAAAATAGGAGCACCAACTGAAAGAGAAGAGCGGACTACAAACTTTCTTTGTCATAAAAATTTTCAGGGCAACAATTTTTTCACTATCATCTGGAGGATAAAGTTGAATTTCGCAAATTAAGGTTGTCTTTCCTCAATAATCTGCTTATCATTAATTATAATTAGATAGATTGGATGGATACTGAATTGTCCTATTTAAAACACTTTGTTTAAAAAAAAAGTAAAACAATAATTAATAAAGAACTACGAAATTGTAATACCGCGGCGAGATAAGCATTATTTTCCTAAAAAAGCACGTTCATTGCAGTTTAATGATCAAAATGAATATAGGTAACTCATTATTTTTTAAGAGACCTTTGAAAACTTATCAATAATTGAAGTACATATTGTTTTGCATGTTTTTTCTTAAACATTTCATAAATAAACTTTACGCAGCATGACTGGCTATAGTGCACTAAAAGTTGAAGAGCCGAGAAAGTTCTAAAGTTTTAGCATGTAGAAATACTTCGTACCAATTCAGAATTGGGGCACCTTCAATTCGAGTGATACTTCCAGCTCCACCGAAGAGTTAGTTTAGTTGCGTGACCTAACTTGACCCAACCTGGCACTCTATCGATCGGTTTCCGAGCTTCAAAACCGATCACAATCATTAAACTTGGGCATATTCAATTAATGCAAGGAGAAAAGTTTTTCAAACGTTCCGGAATTAATTATATGTGTTATTTTCTACGAGAAAACTCATCAAATTGTTTTCCTCCAATAACGAGAAAGTGAGAGTAAATTCGGCAGCATTTTCAAATTAAAAATTTGATATGTTGACTAAATTTGACTCGAATTTTGTCATTCGAGGTTTTCAATGTAAGTAAAATAAGATATTATCATTTTTCAGGAGTTAATTTCTGGAATTTTCATGGTATTATCCTTTCAATAGCAAATTTTGACTCGAAAACATGTAAATCAGTACTTTAAATAATACAAACCGTCTAGCTCTTTTACGTAAGAACTTTGGCAGAAATTAAAAGGCATTGGTAAATGTACATTAAGTCAATTCTGCTCGATAATCATTCATTGATGTAAAGAAATGACATGTCTCTGCTCACAAGACATAGCTAGAAATTAAGCACCACAACAAATATGTTCTCATCAATTTTTTACGGAGAACGTAATGAACTGATTGAAAATTTCTAAATTTAACTTTTGAAGAGGAATAAGTATTTTTCTTGTTCCGAAATTCAACTTTTCTGCTCGTTAAAAATCAAGAGATACTTGTTTCGTTGAACACCACTAGCGGCATAGTGCACTTCACTGTAGAATAGTCCTTTCAGTATGCTGACTGTTTGCCGACAAGTTGGATGAAGAAAAAAGAAAATTTAGAGAAATGGAACTGTAATTACTTGTCAGAAGATAATGTTATTTTCATTTACTGATTTGGCCCACGAAGATTTTGGTTTTTTGCGCGGTTTGAAAATTTTAACTGACTGATTTTTAAGTCAGAATTAAAACTAATCTCTCATTCACGAGGTAATTTTGCATTCGTGCAACTCGCAGCAACGTACTTTTCATGAACGTTTTATGGGAAAGTAAGTCTTGTGATGCTTAAAGTTCGACCCTACGAGGCAGTCTGCTCCTAAAATTCCGCATCTAGTGCTGCTCTCACGCGGAGTTTTCCAAGACTCCCGGCAGATACCAGCTTAAGAAGTTTTCTTATTTCGCCCGTAGATGGCGTATGAATGCGTTCGTGTGCTTTGCGCTACAATGATCGCAGCGGTCGGCGTGTGGACGATACTGCTCATTCGACGTGAAAATGACTGCATGAATCTTTTGTCAAAGTCATTGTCAAATTATGTCAATATCAGATACTTGCAATTAGACCTTTTAATGTGCATACAGGTAAATGATATGATAGGTAGCTAAAGTGGCTACATATTTTTCCCTATAAAATTCATAAGCCATGCAATTCGTGCATGTTATTTAAAATTGCAGAATTTTATCTTCAGCTATAAAAACAAGGCACTCACTTGCTTCTCGTTACACATTAGCGCAGTATGTAGATGACCAAAGTGTAAAACCACGTAACTTTTTTTGCCACGTAGCAGACTTCCTGTCATACCAGTGGCGTGAAAGCACGCCAGTGGCGTGGCGTACTTTGCGATACATCGAATGATCTGTGATTTAAACCCATGGAAAAAGGTCGGTAAATGGGGTGTTCGCAACGAACACTTAATAATCGATTCTATACCATAGCTTCAAATGGAGAAATATCGATAATTGATCATTCACGCCACGCCACCGTTGCCATACTTTATTCTTTTTTTTTACTAATTGACGATTGATCTATTACCAGGTGGAGAATTTTGAGAACCGAGCATCTAGACAGTGTTGACGATTTATTGGCGCTCAACACTTTTCAGGCATGCATATCATAAGACCAACTTACCTTGTGGACGAATGGGGGAAGAAAGTGCTTGAAAGGCATAATGCTAGGAGCAGGAGGCAGATGTGAGGGTGACAGGGAGCAGCGATTTTTCTTGGGGGTCGAAGGCACATACGGCAGTTCTAAGAGGTGACGAATCGTGTAACTGTGTCCGGACATCCTGTAAACAAGCAAATTCTGTTAGAGAGGCCAGAACTGCGATCAATTTTTTTTAAAAATATATGAATGTTGCAGAGTGGCGCCTAATTATGTTCAGTCAGTTGTTGTCCATTAAGCTCAGGCCCGATTTTATCACCTTCTGATCCCTTTATAGTGGACTTGAAGCACAAAAAAAAATGCGACGAAAATGTACCCGAAAACGGTTTGCAGGGGGTGAGTCGATGGTACGCGTAGAGTGTGGACTTAAAATCGCGAAACATCAAAATCTTGGCTGATCCCAATTTCGAGATATCTCAGCTTGAAATTTTCATTTTAAATGCAAGTTTTTCATTGATTTTGATCCACTATTTTCTTTATTTGTTCATTAAATCAGTGTTGATCGGTTCACGTTTTTATTTCTCGTTCGATTCATGTCGATCGAATACATACCTTCTCGCTCTATTCGACTACCTATCATACTCTTTTGTTTTAACCGAAAAATTAGCCCTCTGCTGCGTCTGCAGCAATTGTTATTACGAATATGTTGTGCGTGCTGATTTTAGCACGTTACATACTTGACGTTTTATGTGTGAAAGCAATTTGCCTTCAGCTGCGTCTGCAGCAATTGTTGTTACGAATATGTTGTGCGTGCTAATTTTAGCTCATTACATACTCGACTGTCTGAAAGCATCTGAACCATCGTGCGTTACCAAGTTTCTTTCGGTAAAATACGAATTTTCAAGAAAACTTGTGAAAATCTGCCGTCCAATTTTCCAGAGAATTTTCCTCGCAACGTGATCTAAAGTATTAGAAAATTTCTAGTATAGATATTCATTATTTGTCTCAAAAATTAATGCTTCAAGAAGGGAAATTTGGGAACTCTCGGATGTTCATACGGCGCTTTTTCTTAACATGGCAGCATAGCCGTGAGATACATTTTACTACTGAGAATGATCGCGAAGGAAAAATAAATGAGTCAATTACTCTAGGCTTTGATTGGATAATGACTAATGAGGAGTGATGAGGAGGCACCTTCAGAGAATGTACTCATTTCATAAAGACGTAATGACAGCATTGTTTCCTGCAACCAAGTTACTCACGGCTCCAAACAACAGAAAACTGTCTCTCTTACTCTCATGTATGACCTCTATGTGTTGTTGTCCCACTTTCATACCTTGAATCGTGAAATATGCAGGGGTCTGTTATCAATTTTTTTGCGCAGATGTGGACTTCTTTTGCAGTTTTACATACGCATCAATCAAAATATCCAATTTATTACATGTTGCTTCCTAAAATTAGATTTTAGAAGGAGATAACCACACAATACATCGAGGTCAAGGGAAAGCAAGTGAAAAAGATGCAGTTAGATAGCGATATGACACGAGCTCAAAGTCACTTTGATTGCCATCGATGAAGGCATCATCAGCGGTGTCCGTTGAGTTCTTTGACGTATGACTACCCTGGTAAAAATTAGTGATAGGAGCTGCGTTTCAAAATACCATAAGAGTTCTTATAGCCGACTAAAGAAGGCTATTGAAAATCATATAGCTGACTGTAGAAAGCGGAGCAAATCATATAGCCGGGCTATACGAAGCTATAAAAAAGTATACAGTCGGGCTATAGTTCCTATCGCCGGGTTTTACACTTTATCGCCATTGGCTATAAAAGGCTATAAGAAATTGTGTAGAAATTCGTGTGCTTTGGAAATCATTAAGTTTGCTACAAAACTACCTTAATATTTACAAAACACACATTATATTTTCCTTTAAAACATATTTTTTTTTTTTCATCAATTAAAATGAGAATAATCCATCCAGAGTGGTCAAACATTTCAAAATCATGAGTTGAAAAACGCTGACTCCGCGAGACTAAATATTAGAGCCTCGCCTAACGCAAAGCGGAGCGGCGACGCACTGGCGCCTACAAACCTAACAGGGATACTTCACGCATTGCGCAATGCGTGAAGTATCCCTGTTAGGTTTGAAGGCGCCGCGCTGGTGCGCGTTGCGCAATGCGTGAAGTATCCCTGTTAGGTTTGAAGGCGCCGCGCTGGTGCGCGTTGCGCAATGCGTGAAGTATCCCTGTTAGGTTTGTAGGCGCTGCGCTGGTGCGCGTTTCGCGCTCGCCGAGTCGCCGGTCGGCCGCCGTGCAAACTATTTCACAAAGGTGTTGCATAGTATCATAGGATTTTGAACGCACTCCAACATGTTAAGAATGACAGGCATCCTTTAAGAGTACGGAGCTTTCCTCGCAAAACAAATCAAGATACTACGGCACAAAAAGAGAGCGGCAATCCAAAAACTAGTTCAAGACCAATGAAACCAAGGCGGAAAAATGCGTAGTTATGCATTATAGCGGAGGACGACGTCACACGCCGTGTTTCTCAATGGAGCGATATCACTGCTCGTAACATCACTGCAATTGGACGCATAGGTCTATAGTATTTTGGAACACACATTCTACTGCCAATTTTTACCAGGATAAACGAGTCCATTCGTCGTGGAGTAGAAAGTCTATAAAGTTCAATGAAAATGTTTTCATTTTAATTTTAAAGATATCATTTGTTCGTTTCAGCTATTTTCAGAGCCTTAATGGTTTTCTACATGGGCCCCCCAAGAATTCCTGATGAGAGGTACTCCCAAATCAGAAAAACTTGTGAGTCTGCTAATGGACCACTAGACAAGGTATGAATTTCAGCATTCTGATACATGTTTCTTAACTAAAATTTCACGTAAAACACGATACGCACAACGAAAATTACCGAAATCAACTCCTTACGAAGATATTTAATGATTCTTGATGTGTGAATTCAAACCACCCGCTCATGAAAACTCAATGATCTGCGTGATTCACATCGCGCGCTGAACGTTATCATGACAATCTTTTGCATTATAAAAATCTGGCAACCTCAATCTTGACGCTTCGGCTCAGCTATGGCAAATTGCTTATAGTTTGAACAACATATGGAAGGAAATGAATATTGCTCGATTGAGAGGCTTTCTGAAACCGTTGTGGTGCTCGATTTGACTCACGTAGAGCTTTGAGTTTCTCGTGAGCGGGCAGTTCAAAATCCGCGTGACCAATGTGAAATAAAAAGATAAATATCTTCGTTAGGAGTTGGTTTCAGTAATTTTAGTTGGGCGAATCGCGTTTTACGTGAAATTCTGATTAAGAAACATGTATCAGAATGCTTGAAATCGTGCCTTGTCTAGTGGTTCATTGATTTCCCTAATTTATTTGTATGCCTCAAAAAATAGGTTGGATACTTAGCAGAAAACGCAGGTTTTGGTCATTCAGCAAATCAACTTATTATTCAAGTAAAAAACAAGAGAATCTGTATAGCAATTAGCACAACCGATAACTAAACGAAATTAAATAAAACGGGTATTTTCCCCCTTTAATACGCTTTTGAGACTCTGTTCAAATGCATGTGAGTGAATTATTCCCTCCTCAAAAGAGAATTGAAACATCAACGTTAACGACGCAATGCGATGTAATAAAGTCTTGTTTTGTGGCTGAGTTACATTGTCTTCTTGAAGATTCGATTCGCGAGGAACTGTGATTAAGAACGTTAAAAGTTATAAAAACAAGTCAACTTAAGCCATGAGTGATAAAATTCAACTTGACAGGGAAGTAAAGAAAGCGAATAGAGCAGGGGGGTAGAGGGAGCACTTCAACGAGTGTGCGGAAGGAAAGGGGCAAAGAGGTGTGGGGGAGGGTGGAGGGGGAGAGAGAGGTGGGAGAGAAGAGAAAGAGGCAAAACGAGGGAGCTGGAATCCAACTGAGGAGCATTTCAAAATTTCAGGGCGGTGAGATGGAAAAGTAGTGCAAATCGGGAGAGAGACGGAAAACTGGGTGAAAGTTATTAGGGGGAAGTAAAAGACGGAAGAAACAATGCCGACTTTCCCCTCAAAATAGAAGGAAGTCACAAAGAGAATCATACGTAATGAAACAAGATAGTCTTGCAAAGTTAAGTCGAGTTGCAGTGTTGATGTTCTCCGGGGGAGGGTACGAAAGCAAAAAATCCAGCAATGGAAGGATTTTCCGTTTTTCCCACGTTCCTTGCTTAAATATGTAAAAATATTAGCCTGACAAGTTAGTCGATTACATTTCTCCGAGTTGATTTCTTCGTTCGCGTTCCGTTTACCGCCCCCGCCCCCCGCGACCCCACCCTCCCTCGCCTCCCACATTCATCTCTCAATTCCCGACCTACCCTCACTTTCCCCTCCTCTGTTTTTGTTTGCATCAAAACCTACATCTACTTTTTTCGTCTTGCCTCCTTTATCCGCACCGCGACGCGAAAACTTCTGCGCGCCCTGGTTTCTTTAATGAAATACGAAGCTTCGCATTTCATCCTTCATCACAGATTGTGTTCCATTTCTTGAAACATTGGATAAATCTACGCTCTTCATAACTTTTTTTTCGGGGACAGTTATTCGAAAGAAGTTCCTCTTTTTTACCAATCTCGCTTATCTTTTTCCAATACAGAGCGTTTCACCTGGTAAAAAGAGTATTGACAGACCCTAATTTTACGAATGTCGAACATTCTATTTAGATATCGATTAATTCTTGCTGTGAACACTTTGAGCGATTGTGTGTTTGGTTAGGTCCGATTCGATAAAATGGATATAATCCTAATTCATTCCTGAGTTACGAATTGGATCCGAAGGAACTTATGACCTTTGATTGCTTTCAATAAGAATAAGCCAATAGTTTGGCCAATATCTGTAACTTTTTCAAGTCATCGCATAACGTTGTTTAGTACCTAAGGCTCTGTTTTACTTGTGAGAAACTCAGTTGGATCGTTTTACCGGACAACTTTGTGATGGCTGGAAAAAGTTGCGAATATTGGTCAAACAAAACACGAGTATACAGCCATACAATCACTTTTAGTCTCTGTTTGCTAATAAATCGATGCCTATCAATTTTCGATATACGTTAAGATGTAAGACTGAATCAGTCATTGATCTCTAAAGCGTCTACAGCCGTCTACAGTGTTTAATTGGCTAGATAGCTCTTTAA